GTTAACCACAGAAACTGAGTTTCCGTCAGGCAGTCAAGCAGATAACATCTTGACTTCAGTTGGGTTTCAGCCCCCAGGTCCTTGAAAGCTGACCACACCTCGTGAAACCAGACTGAACCATAGCCATGGCTGACGTCCAAACCTGTCACAATGACCAGCTGACTACCCCCTACCCTGGCCCCAACCAACCAGTAGAGACCACAACCCCACCTCCTTTAGCCACTGCGATTAATGAGTCTTCTTCTATATAACCCATCCCGTGGAAGCCATCAGGAAGCCAGATCTTTGAGCACTAGTTTACCTGTGACTCTGGGCTTGGTGCCATTTCCTCAACTAGTAAACCCTTACTCTCTTGGCTGCAAACTCCCGTTTGAGTTTGATTGGGCTTTGATGCGTCAAGGCAAGTGGACCCCTCTAGTCTGTTAACAGGGCCCCCAATGTCCCGACCAGGAACCAACCCCCATTAAGTGCCCCCATTTCAGTGCTTTTGAGTTAAGCAGCCACACCCTAGGTTCCTGTCCCACATGTCACCCACTAACAGGCTATCTCATTCTTTTGTATACTTTTTAAAAAGTCTGTCATTTTATTCACTCTGTCTCCTCTGCAGAGCTGAGGCTACAGAGACCTTAGGAACCCATTTTAGGATTTGACCAGAAGACTGAGGACGTGCCCAGGGCCAGCTCTCTGGAGGTGGAAGACAGAACTCAGTGGCAATCCTTCTGGGCTCTGATGCTGTTCCCTTACTTTGAGCAACTGCAAATTACTCCAAAACAATTCACTCCCTCTGTTTTTCCTCTTCCTTCCTCTTCCCCACTCTAAGGAGTGAAAATGCTGCTGTGATTCGTGGTAACAGAGTGAAGATCAAGCCTACGAAATGTGCGATTAGTAAAGTCAGGTGCACTGTGTATAGAACATCTTCCCCAACCCTCTCCACCACTGATTGCTCCCAGATTTTCAAGGCCTCTGCCCATCCTCCTTCCAAACCTCACACGGGCCTGAGCCAACACGTCCCAGCCACTCCCACACTCAGAGAAGGGGTAAGAAACAGGACTGACTGGTTCTGCCCATCCTACCCCTTCCTAACCGCTCTGTTCCCTTAGGGCTTGACACCCCACCCAGCCACCAGCCAACACCCTCATGCTCAACCAACTATGCTCTCACACTTCCCTCACACTTAGGCCAGCTAACTTTGGTTCCCCCATTCTCTCCTCCCTGAAACATCTCTGATAACAATTCAATGTAATTTAGTGAGAGACTGAATATACCAATGGACAATGGCCAGACCATATGTAAAAATAATCTGACCCACAGTCTATAGCAATCAGTCCAGGAAAGTCAAACCACAACCTCTGTAGCAATCAGTCCCAAATGGTCAGGGCTTAATTATTAACACCCAGCTTTCCTAATTTCTTCTCCCTCACCCCACCTCCAGCATTCCAACTTAGGACCAATCACACAGAGCCAAATACGTTCCCCTAACCAATCATACAGGACTCCTGCTGCCTCCAGCTTCCTAAGCCCAACATCCTCCAACTAGGGCCTTCCTTTTTGTTCCACTATAAAGCTTCTGCACTCCCCTGCCCACCTTTGAGTCTGTGACAAACGTAAGTGATGGTGGCTGACTCTCCTGCTATGGAATAAATTGCTGTGCCTGTTCTCATCTGGGTGGTCTTCATTTACTTCCATACAAGGTTCTAATACAAGCCACAGTCCCTACTCACACAGAGCTCTTAGTCCAGTAAGCAATCACACTGGTGGACGTGTGTAGAGTACCACAGAAACGTGTATGGAAATAGTAAGTGCATACGTGTCCCATACAATATGATACAGAGGCACAGACATGGTGTTGCTGGTACTTCGCAGGAACTAGAGGACTCCACGGGGCTTCCAGGGAGGGAAGACAACTGGGCAGGATTGGAAATATGAACAGACTCACTGAGGAGATAGCTGTTGGGGAAGGAGAGGGCAGTTCTCCATTCTTCTCCTGCCGTCCGCCTCCAGAGACTAAGCTTTTTACTTGTAGACCAACTTTGCCTTTGGACCTGCTCCGTGAAATAGCTCATTTATTTTTGCATCTGTATTTTCTCCCTTTCTACTGAACAATGCCCCTGAGTCTAAAATGTTCTGAGTCTCACCCCCTCACACACACACACAAAATTCTTGCACTGACTTGGCCAGCCCCCCTGAATGCTACCTTCTGTTTCGTTCTAACTTGAAAGAGCACTCGCTCTGCAGCGGGGGGTCTCTACACGCTCTAGAACGCCCTGCATCTGACTCTCACCCTCACTGCCCTGCTGGTACTGGCTCACCACTGACCCAAGTCACCAAATCCAAAGCCTTCTCCTCCGTCTCCACCCCCTCAACTTCTCCTCCCCTGGTTTCCTGGTTCGTTCCTAACCCAGTCTCCTTCCTGCCTTAGTGGCTGCTGTTCTTTCTCCTCTACCTGCATCTACCACCTAACCTTGATCTTCCCCAAGAATCTATCCTTGGCCCTCTTACTCCTACTAACCACAGGCTCCGAGAGACCGTCAAGTTTACATTAGCATCACACCTCTACTGTTCAGTCTTAAATCCCCGTTGATTTCATCTGAAAGCCCTAACATCTCCTCCAGCTCAGGGTGTCTAAAATAACTAGTCATCTTCCTTCTGAAATCTTTCTGCTCCTCCTGTGGAACCACAGATCCAAGTCACCCCATCCCCAACCCTTCCTGCCATCTTTCCTCTTCTATTCCCTGCATCTTTATGTCTGTTATTAGGTCCTTGCAGTTCTGCTTCCCCCTGATCTTCCACATTCAGTCCTGCTGTCACAATGTGGAGACAGGCCCCGCACCTCTAGGCCAGCTATTGCAACAGCTTCCTGAATGGCTCTAAGCCTCCAGTCATAACCCACATTGTCTACTGTAGGGAGAGCTGCCCATGATAAAATCGGATTCTCCAAGGTTGTAAAAGGAGAGATGGCGCAACCAGGCAGTCCTGACTCCCATTTCCCAAAATGCACTGCACAGCCTTTAAGTAGTTGCCAATGGATGGCCTAGGGGAGTCACTTCTTCAACCATCTTAGCCCAACAATTCAGTGAGACGACACTGGGAAGTTTCCTGGAGGGTCTTAACACAAAGGTTCTGAGAGGTTAGGGGAGGTAGAGAAGAGAGGGGGCGATAAATGGTGATGGAAGAGACAACTTGGGGTGATGAACACACAATGCAATATACAGATGGTATATTACGGAATTTACACCTGCAACCGCTATAATTTTATTAACCAATTATCACCCCCAATAAATTCAATTAAAAAAATTATACATGTCCTGACTGGTGTGGCTCAGTTGGTTGGGCATCATCCTGCAAAGCAAAAGGTTGCTGGTTCAGTCCCAGTGCTGGGAGTGTGGGTTCAGTCCCCAGCTGGGGTGCGGGTGAGAGGCAACCGATCCATGTTTCTGTCACACATCGATGTCTTTTCTCCCTCTCTCTCGCCCACCTTTCCCCTCTCTCTAAAAAGAAATACATAAAATCTTTTTAAGAAAAGATTCTGAAATAGGCTCCAAGCATCTACAAGTTTTCTGTACACCGCCATGGGAGACTAAACTCAGGAAGGAAGCTAGAAAGTGTACCAGAGCATCTGCAGTACAAAAATGGCCACTTCAGAAGGTTGAGCCATCAACAGAACCACCCACCAGTGACGGTAAAAGTCTTGCAAGGGAGAGGAGTCTGAGCTGCAAAGTATCTCCAACTTTTCCTTACACAGAAGTTTGCATCCGCTTCAGGATCAGTATTTGGCTTCATTTAGGAAGTCGGAGGGTTTCCTTATGGCAACTCTTTACATCACTCTCTGTGCAAAAACCTGCAGTGACTTCCGATGGCTTTCCACCTTCTGGCAACAACTACCTCTGAGTGCCTTGGTCTGCCAGTCAAGGCACTCTGCCTGCTGGTTAAATCCAGTCTGCCTTTCCACCTGCACTTCCCAGCCATCTCCTCCGTGCCAGTCAATCTGAACTGCAGGCCCCTTGCTCTTGTGCCCAGGTGTGCTGCCACTCCCGGCCCCTCTGTCCGAATTCATTCCTTCTACACACAGCGTTTGTGGAGCACCCACCGTGCCCTCGGCTATTACTCCCCTCACCTTCCCATATCCAAATATTACCAATCCTTGCCAGTCTGGTTAAAGGGTCACTTCATCCATGACGCCACATGATGCCCCCAGCCAGAAGTCATCTTTCCCTCCTCTGACCACCCACACCTTCCCAAAGTGCCTAGGGCATTGTCTTCTCTTACAGCCATTTGGACAATAGCCACCACCCTTACATGTCTCAATGCTATATTGATCCCTGCTTTGGAATGGGGTGGAGGGGGAACTACTCCAATTGCCTGGAAATTTATTATTTTGCTTGTCTGTCTCCTCCACAATATGAACTCAGTGAGTTCCAACACCAAGACGTCATCGCCTCCTGCACAGGGAAACAAGTACCATCTACTACTGAATGAATTGAGTTAATAAATACTTTCTTCCTGTAAACTTTCTTACATTTTTTTTCTCACCGTATTAGTGTCTAGTTCTTCATCAAGGTGAACAAATTAAGAAGTGGACAGAAAATTGATTCGGATCTAGAATTTGTCGTGCAAAAGCCACGGCAGGGCCAGCAGCTTGACCTTGCGGCCAGCCGGAAGGCCCTGCCACGCAGGGCGGGGCTCGCGCCGGGAGGCTGCCAGTGCCCAGCCCCCACCTCGCCACAGGTCCCTCAGGGGCACGAACAAGGCCACCCCTGAACAGGTTTCCTTGGCAGCCCTGGGGCGGGGACGGGGAAGCCTAGGCGGGGAGCCCCTCCTGCCTCTTTGAGCCCCGCCTTCCCGATTCTCAACTGCCGGAGCTGCCCCACCTGCGCTCCTCGTTGGGGCCCCTGCGCGTCTGGCCCAGGGGCGGGGAAGCGTCTCGGGCGCCCCAGCCTCGAGGAGGTCCATCGAGGACCCGCCGGCCCGGTGGTGCTGCACCCGCTCCCGCTGGTACTCACCGTCCGCCCCCTGCGCTCCAGTCGCACCCCGGGCCAGCGCGAGCAGCAGCAGGAGCGGCAGCAGGCGGCGAGGCGGGCAGCCCGTGCCCCGGGGCCGGGGGCCCATGCCGCTGCGTCCCGCCGGGAGCGCCCGCGTCTCCTCCTGGGGCCCAAAGACGCAGAGATAAGGCTGCGGGCGCCGTGGGGAGGGGGCCGCCCGGCCGCTTCCGGCGCCGCGCTGGGACAGCGCCCCGAGGTGCCGGGGAGGTGGCGGGCTCCGGCCAGTGCGACCGGCCTCGGCAGGCGCTTCTTCATTCATTCGTCCCTCCACTCTCTCTGTGCAGCTGCCAGGGCGCGCGGTCCGGCGTCTGGCCCCCTCGGCGCGCACGTTCCGAAAGTGGGCAGGGGCGCCCCGCAGAGGGTGACACAGCTGAACAGAGGGTCCCGGACTGTCTAGAAGGAAACGCCCATTGTGGCCCAAGCCTGGCGTCCGAGCCGGCGCGGAGCTCAGGGAGGCACCCCCCGAGAGGACAGAGGAAGCGTGGCGAGGGGCAGAAAGGGCGGGAATCTTCCAGGAGGTTGAAGAGACCTGGGGCGAGGTGGCTGGAGCTCCAAGGGGAAGATGAGAGGGCGAGAAGCCGCTGGCCCAGGCCACCCCTGGCGACAGACTTGACCAGGTGACAAGACCTTAAAGGGAGACGGAGTTTAGTGTGGGGGAGGAGCTGGCAGGGGTCCCCGCTGCTCCAAGGAGGTAAGCTAAGCCCCCCAGGATGAAAAACACGTGGGAGAGGAAACAAGGCAGGTAAAGTCACGTTCAAAGAGACAGTGACAAGACGGTGATATTTAGAGAGGCATTAAGATGCAGAAATAAGACCTCATGAGCCAAGTAAAGAGGGTTGCCGAGAAGCTGTAATGGGACCCATCTTAAGCTTAGCCACGTCATCAGGAAGGTCCCCAGAGTCTGCTCTCTGGGGCTGCTGTGGGAACCCAGACAGGAGAGGACATGTCCAGGAGCAGGGCGCTGGCCATGAGTGCAGAGAGAAACCGCAAGGGAGAGGTGGGACTGGGCGGAATGCATTGGACTTTATGACCTGTAGAACAGAGAAGGAAAGAGAAATAACAGCTACCACCTAAATGTCTGATCTGGGCAACTGGGTTGGTGGTGGTGGCGGCCGCTGAGATGGAGACTGGAAGGGAGTTGTCGTGAGTTGGGGCAGAGAGAGAAGAAAGAAGTTTCAGTTTGAAGGCTTTGAACTCGTGAAGTCTGTGGGTCTCCCTCCAAGAGCAGGGCCCACCAGTACTTCACCCATGACCTTACTTTCTCCCATGGGCCTGATCTAAATCTAACCCTCCGGGAACACACCCATATAAGGGCTAAACTTGTTGTGCAGCCTTAAAAAGAAGTAGTTAAAAATAAACTTCCTAGCCTCCTTTGCAGCAGGCTTTCTTACTAATTTTTTTGTTGTTGTTCAGCAAAGATAAGAGCCCGCACTGCAGAGTAGGAGGTGGACAGAGTGGGTGTGGTGGCCTGTCGCCTGTAACCAAGACAGTTTCTGTTAAACTCAGCTCTCCATGAAGTTTGAAATCATGTCATTTTCTTTCAACAAAAATACATTCATATAATAAACTTTCAGACCAGCTTAAATCTTCTTTTCCACCATGCCCCCATGCAGAGTAAATTTAAATATATTTGTGTGTGTATATTTCATCTTATATACATATATATGCACATATAGATATACTCAAAATTGGTGATGTTAGGAAAAATTGTCCAAATAGTAAATAGGTTTTCATTTGATATTTGCATGAATCATATTTTTAATATTTGGGAAGTTTTATATTGGCACAATCCATGTTACTCATATTCTACATCAGATTGTATGGCTTTCATGAATTCTTTTTTATTGGCTCATTCTTTGTTTTCAAGCAAATATTCAAAACAAACAAACTTCTATACTGGCTGGCGTAGCTCAGTGGATTGAGCACGAGCCTGTGAACCAAACAACCGCGGTTTGATTCCCAGTCAGGGCACATGCCTGGGTTGCAGGCCAGTTCCCAGCTGGGGATGCACCAGAGGCAACAATACATTAATATTTCTCTCCCTCTCTCCTTCCCTTCCTTTCTAAAAATAAATAAATAAAATCTTAAAAGAAAAAACCCCAAAACTTCTTACCCAATGGTGGGTTTATGGAATCCCAGAATGAGAAATTATCTCCTCAGTATTTGTTCCTAGAATTACAAAAAACACTAATGAGCCAGAGTTAAATTGGGAGCTGTGGCATTATTGTTGAGAAATTAATTATTTAGCTTAAGAAAAAGTTTCTTAAGATAGCACGGCCAATACATCAACATCTTCTGAAGGAGAATTTAGATCTTTTTCCATGACATCTAGATGTTAATGCCTTCCTCAAAAATAATTTTCTGTTGGTTTCAAGATGGCGTTGTATGCCCTGAAAGTCTCTCTCCCCTCCTCCCAAGCCGGGTGGAGTGGCCAAAGATTCACGCGCACACACAAGCCACACATATACATCTAAATATGCAAACGGGAAAGAATGCCATTGGTGGCCTGGACGGCTTTGAGGACTGCACTGGGTTACATCTGCCACATGCCTTCCACAAAAATATCCACTGGAAGAGATGGGAAGTAGGGGGGTATTAAAATACATACCATTTAAAACTTCTAAAATATGATACATGCACTTCAAATTATTCTTTGTACCTGGTAATATGATGTGCAGAATTTATCATCTTTTGACATTGAATTACTACTGTGTAGGAATTGTTGAGAAAATACAAAGCACACTTCCGACCAGTTCAGAGCACTTCACCTGCTCCCGTGTGCACACACTGTAAACATAGCCGGCCCCTCCGTGGGCTCCACGCCCCTGAACACCAGTCACCCGGCCCTCCACAGACACTGTCAGCCCCACATGTTTAGGAAGTCATTTTTAGCTTCATCTTGAAAAGTTTTTAAAAATAATTTGGTCATCAAAGGGCCTTTATGTGGTTCGATAAAATATGTAACTCCCTTTTCAAATATTGAGATCACGGACCAATATCTGCAGTGATCGTAAAGGACCTCAAGCAGGTACACGTAACCAAGGGAGCTTCCTGTCTCCATTCATGGCAGGTTAGTAAATACTGAAGCCTATCTTAGGGCATCTTGCTACAAAATTAAAACAGTCGAAGGTAACGGGAATATTTGCACACCCATGTTCACCACAGCCTCATTCACAACAGCTGAAAGGTTGAAACAACCCCAATATCCATCACAGGAGGAGCGGATAAATGAAATGTGGCGTATCCATACAATACAGTATCACTCAGCCTTAAAACTCTGACACATGCAGTGTGGGTGGAACTTCGAGAGCATTGTGCTAAGTGAAATAAGCCAGTTTTTTTTTTTAAAGACAAATACTGTATGAGTCTCCTCAGATGAAATATTTAGCGTAGTCAAATTCATAGACAGAAAGTAGAGGGCTGTGCCAGGGGCTGGGGAGAGCTGGGCATGTGGAGTCCGTGTCTCATGGGCAGAGAGCTTGTTTTGCCCGACGAAAAGAAGTCTGTGGGTGGATGGTTTCGATGACTGCCAAATAATGGGACTGTGCTCAGTGCCACTGAACTGTACTTACAAATGGCTCAATGGTTAAAAAAAAAGGCCAAAAATTTAGGTGCCGATTTTTATTTTTATTTTATCAGACTGGCACTAACATATAGAACCTTCCAAATCAATTTTGGATCCTGGTCAATCAGAATAACAGGGAAGTTCCCTTGGAAAGCCCCTTCCCCCAGCCTCTGGGTCGTAAGTGGATGGGATTCTAAGAGACCCCTGAGTGGGCCATGGGGCAGCCACAGGGAGGGGAGGAGGAAGACACACAAACAGGACGAACACCCGAGCCCCGTATCTCTAGGGTCTCCCCCAAGCTGCCCTTCGCTGTGTCTGCTTACAGTGTAAAGTGCAGGGTTGGCAAGGGAACATGGAGGCTGGATACCAAATATCCTGGAACGTACCTGGTAAAAGCCCTTGCTTGGTAATCACACTCATAACCAGAAACGATGTATTGCTTTTCCCACTAGCAGGCCTACAAATGGCAAATAAATTGCTTACATGTGGTTCGAATATCTAATTGTAATGAGTTTGATATATTCTGCTGTTGAACCCATTGCATTAACAGGTGGTTTAAATACTTGAAGCCTTTGAAGAAATAATACTTTTTTTTTCCATTGGGAAAGAATTAAAAAATAAATGTTTGAAGCCTTTGAATTACGTTGGTTGAAAAATCGCGTGTTTGCTAAAAGTGAGTCCCTCCGTCATACCCCACTGCACGCTCACACACGTTTGTTCCCTAGCGGACAAGAAAGACCACACTGACGTTCACCTGAAGCAGATTCATCATGACCAACATAGGGACTGTCCCTGTCAGGCCAAGGTGGGCTTCTCATTCTTGGATGCTCAGTGACTCTCCGAGAAACCAGGGGATCACTCCGTCTTCTCTCACACGCCTCTCCTACTCCCCAAACCCCCTGCCCTGGATTAGTTTGTAGAACCTGGGCAGCAAACACACACTCCTGGCTGCTGAACATTGCTGGGCTAGAAGCTGCGTGATACGTAGTCCACTCCAAACACCAGTGTTCCCAGGAAAGCAAAACAGACCTGGGTGGGAAGTGGCAGCTCCGTGGAGCAGGGGCGTCCCCTCGCTCTCCCCATGTTCCCAGTAATGCCACCCCTGCTCGCTTTGTACTGGCACGTGCACGCTAATGGGACTCAGACACGCTCTGATCCCACCAGCAGAAGCTGGAGGAGCAGCAGATTCGGATTTGGGAGCCGACGTCAGACACTCCAACAGACTCAAGTTCAGGGAGCAGCTGTCCTAGTACTCACCCATCCACCCCAGACCTCAGAAGGGGAACACTGAGTGAGACTAGGGCACTGTCGCCCAGTCCGTCACACACACAGTGCACACACACACACAGTCACCTGCCTCGCTTGAGGAAACCTCAGCTGTTGGTCTGTTTGTTTCACAAACCCTAAAAGGAAGCCTCGCTGACAGCCCACTTCCGGCCCACGATCAGCCCAAGGATCCTTGCAGCCACCCACAGGCCTGAGAAGTGGGGCACAGCCGGCCGTGACCCACACAATTGCCGAGGAAGCCCACGACAGCTGTGAAGGCTGACTGAGCTAGGCTTTCCTTGATCAATTCCAGCTGACAGTGAGGACCCATCGCGCCGACCTTGGCAAACAGTGCAACCTTCGTAACAGACTTCATTCGGTTATTTTGCAATGGACTTAGCTGTAGGTTTTACTGGTTTCTTTGCTTTCTGCTATTTCTGTGTCCATTACTTCCTCTTTCCCCCTCCTCCTCTTTATCTTCTCCTGGCACGTCTTGGAGTCTCTCTATCAGAATGTATTCCTCGATGGTAAACTTTCTGAATCTTTGCATACCCACATATCTCTTGATTTTGCTCTCATAATTTAATTATAGGTTAACTGAGTATAGAATTCTGAATTCAAAATGGTTAAAGACTAAGTCAATGGAGTCAAGAATCCAGGGTTCAAAATCATTCTCCCTGAATCTTGTCTTCCAGCATTAGCGTTACAGACGAGACTCACAGGCTGATTTGGTTATAAATTCCACTCCAGTGATGTGTCTCCCACCAGTCCCATACCAAGCGTAGGGGATTTTCTCTTTATCTGTGGAATCCAGAAATTCCACGAGGACAGAGTTTTTCCTATGTTTCCCCAGCACTCCGTGGTCCCCTTTAGCTCGTAGATCTTGCCTTCAGCAGAGACATTTTTGTCATTCGGTTCTTTGGTTATTCCATTCTCTCAATTCTTTCTATTTATTCCCTTCTGGAATTTATGGTAGGCCTATAAATTTATTCCCTTCTGGAATTTATGGTAGGTCCTAAAAACTTGCCTCTAGCCTCTCGGACTCAGTGTTCATCTTATTTTCTTCATCTTCTTTGCCTTTATTCACGGAAGGTGGGAGCCCACCCTCACCCGGCCTTCCTGTTTGCTGATTTGAACTCCCTCCATCCCTCTTCTGCTCTTCAGTCCATCTGTCGAAATATTTTTTATCTTGGCAACCATGCTCTTAGTTTCCAAGAATCCTGTTTCTTCTACAGAATGCTTTTAATTTCTATAGGTGGGATAACTTCTTGAATTCCCCTGAGCATGCCAACTAGTGTATTTTAAAGTTCTTTCCTGCTGGCCTGTTTCATCAGGAGGTCGATTATTTATTAACAGAATTTGAGGAGTCAGCTGCAGGCTGTCCTCAGGTGTTTCACGATGGTCGGCTGCCTG